TCTGGCCTTTTCTGTTTATGTGGTGCTGAGGAATGAAACCTAGAGCCTCATGCATGCGAAGCAAACACTCTACCACTGAACTACCTTCCCACCCCTAGTACTTTACCTTCAGGCACTATAAAATGCTCTAGGGCTATGTTGGATGTTTCCAGCTCTTATTCTAGAATTAGCCATTTTTTAAGGAATCCTCATGACAGTGCAAGCACTCTCATGCTTGAACCATGCCCCTAGGCACTGTCCCTGAGCTGTTTTTTGCTTAAGGCTAGTGCTCTACCACTTGAGCCACAGCACTACTTCTGGCTTCTTGTTTATGTATACTGAGAAATCCAACCCAGGGCTTTATGCATGCTAGGCAAGCACTCTGCCACTAAGCCACACTCCCAGTCTGGTCCCAACTTTCTTTTGATTAGTGTTAGCCACCTTTCTGGCTATTAGGCTCCTTGTGTAGTTATCCTAGGTCTCTTAATTGTATGTTTGTCATACTTCCATGATTTTGGAAAGGTGCCAAGTTATCGTAAAAAATTGTCAAAACTGCTGGGTGCCAGTGGCTCATGCCTGTAATCCTAGCTACTCAGGAGGGTGCTGTCCCTCAGCTCTTCAGCTCAAGGTGAACGCTCTAGTTGAGCCACAGCTCCACTTCCAGTTATCTGCTGGTTAGTTGGAGTTAAACAGTTTTACATACTTTCCTTGCCTGGGCTGGCTTTGAACTGCAATCCTCAGATCTCAGCCTCCTGAGTAGTTAGGATTACAGGTGTGAGCCACTAGCGTCCATGAATTGATTCTTTGGATAGTCTTGGAAGCTGTCTTGGGAGCTGCTAAGGTGTTTATTCAGGTAAGCACAGAGCACATTCTCAGTGAAGTACTGGGGTGTAAAATTCCAGTACTTCTCTTCTAAAGAATGTTATATTCATATAAGTAGTATAAAATAATCATCTTCTCTCACAGTACTTGTGACACAGCAACTCTTTTTCCTACCATGGCTCTGGTGGTGTCTGTGTGATGGGAAGTGGCAGCAGAGGAGTAATAGGCCTTTTCCGAGTCTGGGGCCTCACCACTTTTTTTCCTATGCTACACTGCCAGCCCATCTGCATGGTTGGTTGGCCCACTAAAGATTAAAATTAAAACCTTCTTTGTTAAATCCTTCAGTGCTTAAAATATAAAAAACTACTTTTCTCTCAACAAATTGTCAACATATAACAAAGTACCTAGATGCTAGAGGAGCAGGATGATGAACGCGTAGAACTTAGGCGTCCCATAGCACACGTGTACATTTGTCTCACACATGGAGGCTTCACAAAGGGACCATCTTTTTTTCTAAAACCATTTATTTATTGTACAAAATTGTAATTAAATCACATGCATGTTAATTACTCGGAGGCAGTAACACAGGTCTGATGCCTTTGTATTTAAGCAGAAGATTTAAAGGCATGAAATAGAAATTTGGAAAAATATTTGAGGTGAAAGAGAATTAGAAACAAGACAGAGCAAAAACATTTAGAAACAGGTAAGCAAATTGCAGCTTATAGACCAAACTTGGCTTGATGCTTGTTTTATTGGACCACAGCCAGACAAATCCAGTCAGAACCAGCAATGCAGTGACGACCTTCTGGATCACTTTGTCACTGGGAGCTATGATTTATAGGACATCAAGCAGGATTTCAGTAGATATCAGCAGCAGGCCCCTTTACAGTGATTAACAAAAATCTCCACTGGGATGTCAAGCAGAAGAAGTGAAATTGCCACCTTGGATAAGGTCTGCCTGGACAACACAATCTCCAAATCTAGTTTCTACATATCACTTTGGGAAATGCAAATGGAGATAAAAAATCACAGACATAAAGCAAATGACCTTTAAGCAAGGTAGGTGCTCAACCTCACTGGCAGTTAAATGCAAACTGAAGGCACCTTTTCAACTCTGGGTCAAATTGTCAGGAAATGCACATGCAGTTCATATCAATGGTAAATTTCAGACAAGGCACTAACAGTTACATTTTAAATATATTGTTTAAAAAAACACACACACACAAAGTACTTTAAGGCACAAAATAAGTATAGAAAATCTGTAGTGTAATTACTGGTAAAATCGCCCAAATTTTCACTTGTGGATGGACTGCATTTATCACAGTTTATGTGTATACTTAATCTAAAATTGGTTAGATCAGTAGGTTCTGACTAGAAGGCTGTCCATGAGAAAAAGAGGCTGTACTATCATGGGCCCACCCCTAACCTCCTTGTACCAAACAAATCTAGATGTGAATGTCTTCCTGAGAATGCAGGACAGAAGAACCATCAGTGTCTGTAGTTTTGCTTTCAAAAAAAAGTCTATACTATACTTACTACATTCTTGGCTTAAATTTGATTGAAAACAGATTGTGATGGTCCTGGTTTCCACCTCCTGAATAGCTGGCGATTACAGGCATTTACCACTACAAAAGGTATTTTGTTTTGTGACCATACTGGTGCTTGAACTTGGGGCTTGATAGGCAAGCGTTCTGTACCATGAGATGCAACCCTTAATTCTTAAAAAGCTAAATAATATATTTTTAACAACTCAAAATATTAGAAATTATAATGAAACTAGCACTATGGTAATCTATACTTTATTAAACTAAAGATACAACAAAATAGTTCAAGAATAGATTTATGGCGGGGCACTGGTGGTTCACACCTGTAATCCTAGCTACTCAGGAAGCTGAAATCACAGTTCAAAGCCAGCATGGGCAGGAAAATCCATGAGACTCTTATCTCCAATTAACTACCAGAAAACCAGAAGTGGCACTGTGGCTCAAGTGGTAGAATGCTATTCTTGAGCTGAAGAGCTAAGGAATAGCTCCCAGGACCAGAGTTCAAGCCCCAGCACTCACCAACCAAAAAACACAGCAAGGGGGGTGGGGACTGAATCTACTACCTGGTGACCATAGCAAGTAGACAACTGCACTGACCTGTGCTGTTCTACTGTTCCAGGTCAGTCTCAGCCTAGGCCTTCTGATTACAAAATGACCACATACACATTCTGTAGTTAGTAAAACTATTTTTGTTATTCATTGGGAAAGAAAAGTCAACAGACGTCCATTTGCAGACTTCTGCTCAGCCCAGTGGACAGAAGCACAAGGAAACAAGCATTTACTTAAGGAGAATGTTATCAGTGGCTAAACCAACAGTGTCTCCACTGTACAGTTGTTTATTCCCCCACCCCCTTTTCTTTGCCATTCTGGTGTTTGAACTCAGGGATCCTGTGCTGTAGTACTTGAGCAACTCTGCCAGCATCTTTTTTACACTGGCTCTTTTTAAGGCAGACTATCTTATGCCCAGGATGGTCTGGACTAAGATCTTCCTCTTTTGTTGAAGATAGGTGCATGCTACTACACCCAGCTAAAAATCTTTTTTGCCTAATGCATGATGCTTTATGTTTCTTTAGAGGATAGAATCATAATTTCAGAAAAAGGTTTTAGCTCTGCTTTACATTCTGTTAGAGCTTCTTGTACAAAGAATTTATTAGAGCTGGGTGCCAGTGGCTGCTGCATGTAATCCCAGCTGAGAGGCTGAGATCTGAGGATCGCAGTTCAAAGCCAGCCTGGGCAGGAAAGTCCATGAGACTTATCTCCAATAAACCATCAAAAAACTGGAAGTGGTGCTGTGGCTCAAATGATAAGAGTGCTAAATTTGAGCTGAAGAGCTGAGGGACAGCACACAGGCCCAGAGTTCAAGCTCCACAACCGACATTTTAAAAAAATTATTAGGAATCAATAGTACAGCCAGACAAATGCTCGCCCTTCCCATTACACACAAGAGAAGTTAACTGAAGAGCTGCTTCCCCCCTCATTAACTTCCTTCCACATGGGAGTTCTCTTTCACATTCACTACCAGGGGCAAGTTGCTTTAATGAGAGGCATTGTTAAAATGGGTCTCTCACTGTGTGGTGCTAGCTGGCTTGTAACTTGTGATTCTCTCCACTCTAGCTTCTTGGTGCTAGAATTGTAGCTATGTACCACCATGCCTAGATTGGGAGGTTTTAATAAATCTCTAAATCCGGTTGATTTCAGAGCAACCTAACTTCCTCCTGCTGGGTTTCTTTACATTCCCACTCTGCTGAGGAGGCAAAGGGGCAAAATATGAAAGAAAACTTTACTGTGTCTCTAGAAGGAATTAGGAGTCAATTAAGAGTGGGTGCCTGTAATACTTGCTACTTAAGAGGCTGAGATTTGAGGATCAATCAGGTTAGAGCTAGATAGCCCAGGCAGTCCATAAGTTCTTCAACTAACATCACAAAGCCACAGGTGAAGCTGGGGTTTAAGAGGTAGAATGCTAGCTTTGAGCAAAAGCTTGGGGACAATGCCTCAGCCCTGAGTTCAAGCCCCACGACTGGCACAGAAAGAAAATGATCAAGAGGCCCCCAAAAAGTCACCAGACATAGGTATTCCTAACAGCAGCTTTCCTCTGGCACACTATCACTACTAGCCAGACCTTTTCTAAGGTTAGCGTATTTAATCTTTATGGTATCTCAAAGTTTGCTGCATTTTAACACTAACATAACCTTTCTCAAACAGACTGAATGGCCAGATGCTGGTAATCCTAGCTATTCAGGAGCTGAGATGTGAGGATAGCAATGCAAGGCCAGCCCAGGCAGAAAAGTCAGTGAGACTCTTATCTCCAACAAACTACTCAGAAGTGGTGCTGTGGCTCAAGTCTTATGTACAAAGAGGCTCAGAAACAAGGTGCCCAGGCCCTGAATTCAAGCCTTCAGACTGGCCAAAGAAAAAAAAGACTGAATTACCAGGTGAGTAACCCTGATGTTAAGATGTCCTGAAGATTCATTTCTCTGACTAAGTTCCCTGAGGTTGACTTGGTTCTGAGACACCAAAATGGGATCCCCACTCTTTCTTCACCAATTTTCTAGTATTTTACCAATTGATTCCTGTTGGCTAAATTCTGGAAGAACTTATTTATCTAATTTCACCATAGGTGTTAAATCAAAATCATGTCCCTTTCCCTCTATTCACTCCTCTGTCCTGCATGAATTCTTTGATGCTGACTGAGGTGAGAGCCACGGATAAAGGCCTTCCCACACTGCTCACACTCATAGGGCTTTTCACCAGTGTGAATTTTCTGGTGTCGATTAAGTTCTGAGCCTCGCCCGAAGGCCTTTCCACACTCCCTACACTCATAGGGTCTCTCACCAGTGTGGCTTCTTTCGTGATGGGTAAGCTCCGATCTTCGAATGAAAGCCTTCCCACATTCCTTACACTTGTGGGGTCGGTCACCAGTGTGAACTTTTTGATGTCTCACTAGTTCTGTGCTACATGTGAAGGCCTTTCCGCATTCCTTACATTTATAGGGCTTCTCCCCAGCATGAGCTCTCTGGTGGCGAGTGAGCTCTGAGCCGCGCCGGAAGGCGCTCCCACACTGCTTACACTTGTAGGGTTTCTCCCCAGTGTGGACACTCTGGTGCCGCAGGAGGTGGGAGTCAGAGATGAACCCTTTCCCACACTCCTTACACTTGTGGGGTTTCTCCCCCGTGTGAATCCTCTGATGCAGACTCAGTTGTGAGGCGCAGCTGTACACGTTGCCACATTCCTTGCACTCATAGCGCCTCTCCCCAGTGTGAGTGATCTGATGGAGACTAAGCTGCGTGTCATAGCGAAAGGCTTTCCCGCACTCCTTACACTTATGGGGCTTCTCGCCTGTATGGATTCTCTGGTGTCGGAGAAGGTGTGAGGAGCGGGTAAAGGCCTTCCCGCACTCCTTACACTCAAAGCACTTCTCATCCGTGTGGACTCTGTGGTGAAGGTTAAGTTGGGCATTAGATGGAAACGCCTTCCCACATTCCTGACATTTGTAGGGCTTCTCACCTGCGTGCATCTTTTGGTGCTGCCTACGTTGTGAGGTAGAATGAAAGGCTTTCCCACACTCCTTACACTTATGAACTTTCTCACCCATGGGGGCGCTTGAGGCCCCTTTCTCATTTTCAGTGCTTTTTTTGCTTTTATGAACTTTCTGGTGCTTCATCAAGCTGGACTCACTATCAAAGATTTTCCCACACTCTCCGCATTCACAGTCTTTTTCCTTACCAGGAGTTCTTCTGTGCGGAACGGGACATGACTGGCTCCTGACAGCTTTCTGACACTTGGTGCATTCACAGGATTTCTCTCCAGTGTGAGCTGGCGGAGGGCCTTTCTGGGCTGAATGTTGAATGGAAGTGGGCCTTTCTGTCGAGGCTTTCCCCGGCTGTCGTAGGCTTCCCTCCCGAGGCTCTGCTCTACTCTCCAACTGGCCTGAGACGCTGCTGCCATTAAGGTTGGAGTGTCTACGTTTTTCTTTTATAAAATTAAACCATTGCAAATGGAGAGAACTGTCCTTTGGCAATATATTCTTGGTTTTCCATCTAGACTCACAGTCTGAAAGAAAGAAGAAGTATTTTCATATTTCAGGAGAAAACTTCTGAAGTTAGAAATGACAGCAGGGCTGAGAATATGGCTTAGTGGTAGAGTGCTAGCCTAGCATGCATGAAACCGCCAGTTCAATTCCTCAGTACCACATAAACATAAAAAGCCAGAAGTGGAGCTGTGGGTGAAGTGGTAGAGTGCTGCTATCCTTGAGCAAAAGAAGCTGAGGGACAGTGCCTAGCCCCTGACTTCAAGCCTCAGGACTGGCAAAACAAAAAACAAACAAACAAACAAAAACAATTAGGTGGGCCGCAATAGTTCATTCATGCTTGTAATGTTGTAATGTCAGCTAACTCAGGAGGGTTTATAGTTGGAGCCAATTTGGGCACATTTCACCATTTCACCTTCCAATTCACAAGCAAAAAAGCTGGGCCGGAGCTGTGGCTCACGTGGTTGAATACCAGCAAGAAAGCCCAGTGAGGCCCCTAAGTTCAAGCCTTCGTACTAGTACCAAAATAAACAAAGATAGTGAAAATTTACTACTGTTGTTACTCGTTGCAATTTGGAGGAGAAATAGAAATAAGAGCTCCGAAAGGAAGGTAGAAAATCACAATCAGAATAGGAATTTTGACCAGAAACCACCTTTGCTAAATGAGTATGACATTACCACCAACAGCCAAAATCTCATCTCTAGGTTTAAAAAATAACCAGATTTTACCTAACTGCCTATACTATCATCTTATCCTATTAGCTTGGCTGCTGTCCGTATATCCACACCCTCAATAGATCATGTCACTCTACTCAAAATCCTTCTTAATTGGGTAAGTCAAAGACGCTATGTTGTACCTTCCACGACCCTGTCCTATACCACCCCTGCCCTTGCTACCTGACCAACTGTGTGTCCTCCATCCAGCTCACCAAGGACAGTTCCCATGCCCTCCCTGCTATGTTCATGTGGATCACTTGGTTACTGCTTCTTTCTTCAGAGCCCTTGTTGAAGCACAAGTTTCAGAATAGCACCCTCCCCATTCCATTCCATTTTTTGGTAGCATGTCATCTTACCTATTTTCCAATATTATGAAAGTTTTTATCTGTATTTTTGAAAACTTTCATATTAGACTTCATATTGGACATGAACTTGCATGATGCCACAGGAAACATCTGGCTCTATTTCCTTATTCTCTATTTCTGTCAATCCAGTTTGTAGACATCCTTGTCCATCACTTCTAACTTAACAGATACTTATTTTTGGTATACTGTCTGTCCTTCACTGTAATGCTAGCTATTCAGGAGGCTGAGATCTGAGGACACCGGTCAAAGCCAGCCCAGGGCAAGTCAATCCATGACATGCTTATCTCCAATAAATTACTCAGAAAAAGCTGGAAGTGGTGCTGTGGCTCAAATGGTAGAGCACAAGCCCCAGGACCAGCAAAAACAAAAAACACCTTTCTCTTGAGCATGCTTTCCTTGCAGCTTGGGGTGTGGCATTTCCCCCAGTCCCTGCTCACCTTACAGCCCCAGTTTTGTACCATTGGTTTGCTTATCTTGGATTCTTCCAGACTTCTATGAATGCTCTATTCTAGAATTTCTGCAGTATCAGTTTTTTCATTCTGAATTCTTTAGTTTTTTGGTCAAGTGCTCTGTTCTATAAATCTTTTGCCGAGTTGTAACTGACAAAGAACCAACACAAGTATAATTTCATCCGTCATGATATAAGCATCCTATAACACAATTTAATGAATATTAACAAGACTAAGGGTATCCATGTAGAAATTAGCTAGGTGCAGTGGTAATCACCTGTAGTCCCAGCTACTTTCAGAAACATGGCCTTACTGAATTGTAGCAAACATTTAAAATAAACTTAATAGGCCAGGTGCCCATGGCTCATGCCTATAATCCTAGCTACTCAAAAGGCTGAGAGCTGAGGATTGCAATTTGAAGCCAGCCCAGGCAGAAAAATCCATGACACTCTTACCTCTCAAAAAAAGCCCAAAGTGGTGGCTCAAATGGTAGAGTACTAGCTTTGAGCACAACGAGGCTCAGGGACACTGACCAGGCCGAGTTCAAGCACCATGACCAGGAAAAAGACAAAAAACAATTCAGGGCTGGGAATGTGGCTTAGTAGTAGAGTGCTTGCCTAGCATTCATGAAGCCCTGGGTTGGACTCCGCAGTACCACATACACAGAAAAAGCTCGGAATGGAGCTGTGGCTCAAATAGCAGAGTGCTAGCCTTGAGCAAATGAAGCTCAGGGCCAGTGCCTAGACCCTGAGCTTAAAATTCCAGGACTGGCAAAAAAAAATTAAAAAACATGTATTTTATAAATGTGTATGTATGTGTGTGTATTCAAAAATGTCAGAAAGGCAAAAAAGAATATTTTTCAATTGGTTCTGAGGCTAATATTACACTGATGCAAAGTCACCACAAGGATTCATCTCTGCATTTACCCACAATGGAAATAACTCTTTCTCTTGAATTCCTCTATAGTTTACACTAAGATGTTTTATACTAAAACAGAAATCCTGCAACATAAAGGTATTAACAAACCAGGCGTAACTTACCCTTGAAAAGCATGGTGGATTTAACATAAATACTACACATGTCCTTTTATATAACAGAACAAAGGACAAACTACAGGGTATCTTAGTAGATTTAGATAAAGCAATTACTGAAAGTATTGATGTGGAAGAAGCTAGTCACAAAATGCCTGTTAGATATTAATATGAAATGTCCCGAACAGGTACATAAATATATAGAGAAAATAGATTGCTAGTTGCTTAGGGAAGGGAAGTGACTAATGTACCTTTCATTTGGAGGTTTAATGAAAATATGCTATAATTTGATGGCTACAACTCTGTAAATGTACTAAAACCTAATAACTACACTTTTCCAGTGAAGCTATTTTAAAAAGTTGAGTATGATGGCTCATGCTTGTGGAGCAAAAAGACTTCCTAACCAAAAGCTGGATGTGTTAGAGCCTTACCTGCCTAGCAAACACAAGTCCCAAAGTGAACAGAAAAACTGTACAGGGGAAAGGGCTGACATAGTGGAAGGAAAAGGGCCTTTCTGAACTGTGAGGGCAATCTAAACAGTAGCAAGCCAGTAGTAACTGGATCATTTCAAGCCACTTTTCGTCCTCCCCCCACCCCCCAGTTTCAGGCTGTCTTACATCAGAGATGTTGCTTTCTCACAATCTGGCTGAGTGACAGCCACAATGTCCCCCAATATTATTCACTACTCACCTGGATGCCACACTGTTGTCTTCCTCATAACCATCCAGGACTCTTTCCCCTGCTCCAATAAGGAGATAACATATGGCTTAGTATCACAAAGTCCTGCTCAAGGAAAAAAGAGATTATGTTATGGATATCACAATTAAAAATCAGTGAGAGCGGGCTAGAAAGGTGGCTCAGTGGTAGACTGCTTGTTTTGCACACACAAAGCCCTGGGTTCGATTCCTCAGCACCACATAAGCAGAAAAAGGCTCAAGTTAGAGTGCTAGAGAGTGGAAGAGAGCTGAAGAGCTGAGGGACAGTGCCCAGGCCCAGAGTTCAGACTCCATGACTGGCCAAAAAATAAAAAAGTCAGTGAGCCGGACTGGTAAGGTGGCTTAGGGATAGATTGCTTACCTAACATGCATGAAGCCTGTGTTTGATTCCTCCATACCATAAAAAAGGGGTATTGTGGCTCAAATGCTAACCTTGAGCTAACAGAAGCTCAGGACCAGTTCACAGGGCCCTGAGTTCAAGCCCCAGGACTTCCCCGCCCCCCCCCAAATAAAAATCAGTGAGAGAAACAAGTAGAAAAAAGAGGGGAGCTGGTGGCTCATGCCTGTAATGCTAGCTACTCAAGAGACTTGAGATCTGAGGATCACAGTTCCAAGCCAGGCTGAGCTAGAAAGCTGTGAGACTGCTTTGTCCAATTAAGCACCCAAAAAAAACCCTGGAAGTAGAACTGTGACTCAAGAGTGTCAGCTAGCCTTGAGCAAGAAAGCTCATAGACAGTGCCCAGGCCCTGAGTTTAATCCTTAGGATGGGCACAAAAAAGGGAGTGAAGATCAAAGGAATGAAAAAGACCAAGATGCCCAATAGGAGAGGGACTCACACTCTTTGAAAAACAAGAATGATTCACTTAGGTATTTAAAGCCAAAATAAAGGCCAGGTACTGGTAGCTCATGCCTGTAATCCTAGCTACTCAAGAGGCTGAGCTCCAAGGATTATGGTTCAAAGACAGCCAGGACAGGTAAATCCTGTGAGACTCTTATTTCCACTTATCCAGCAGAAAACCTTAAGTAGAGCTGTAGCTCAAAGTGGTAGAGCACTAGCCTTGAGCAAAAGTGCTCAGGGACATCGCCCAGGCCCTGAGTTCAAGCTCCATGACAAAACAAGTCAAGGGCTGGTACTGTGGCTTAGTGGTAGAGTGCTTGCCTAGCATGCATGAAGCCCTCCCTGGGTTTGATTCCTCAGTACCACATACACATAAAAAGCCAGAAGTGGTGCTACGGCTCAAGTAGTAGAGTGCTAGCTTTGAGCAAAAGAAGCTCAAGGACAGTGCCCAGGCCCTGAGTTCAAGTCCCAGGATTGGCCAAAAAAAAGTCAATATAAATTAATAAAAAAAAAATCATGAAAAAGACAAATTCTAGAAAGCCAATTATGTATTTTGAGGGGTTATAGGTACACTTACCCAATGAGACAAGGTTGTTGTAGTTCTCCAACATTACATCTTGGTACAAATCCTTCTGAGCAGAGCTTAAGCATTCCCATTCCAGTTGAGAGAAGTAAATGACCACATCATTGAACTTCAAGCCCTTAAACCACAAACAAATATGCTGTTTGTAAAATCAATGAACTAAATGTTTTAGGTTGTATGAAAGAAAATGAAGGAGATTCAGCAGGGGCTCCACTGGGGAGCCAAGGTCTGCTGGCTCTCAACAAGGATGGGTTAGCAGAAATGGGGCCAGTGACAAGTGCAAACCTGGGACTTCAGCACATGTAACCACCCAGGTACAAGCATAAACCAAGCCCAGGTCATAAGTGGTATTAAGTGGTGTTATTCAGTTAATACAGAGTACACAACATACACTTCCCACTGCCCCTATTTTCTCATCGCAAAGTATTTTATAAAAGTCTGTCACTGAAAAGGAATATAATTTATATAACTATAGTTTCTTTCAAACTTAGGTTCAACAAAATAAAAGTCAGGTCCCAAATCCCATCCATTTTTCTATATCATCACCACTTTAAAAAAAGGCAGGGATGTAACTCGGTGATAAAGTGCTTGCTGAGCACATGAAATTACTAGGATATCTATCTCATGGAATTGTTATGTGGATTAAACAAGACTATACATGGAAAGACGTTCACACCACAGAGGTTCAAAGTAAGTGCTACTTCGGTTAGTTTTGTTTCTATTATAGTATGGTCTTACACAGTCACATACCCATTCTTAATTACAGATAAAATCATTTAAAAATATTAAGTGACAAGATTTACATGGTGGTACCATGAGTGACCTTAGTGATCTTAGTTTTGAAAATTACAAGAATCCTATATTCAGTCACTAGAAAAGAAGCAATTAGGTTATTTCTACCTTGGGAAAAATATTTAGAGCGCAGGCAGGCAGGCAGGCATTCCAGGCTGTTAGAAATTTGTAAGCTTTAAAAAGGCTACTTCAGTGATCCTAGAGGGGACAACAAAGAAATTAGTGAGACTGGAGTGGATAACCCTACAGTGCTGTAAAGTTCCCACCATCACAGGGCAGGTCACGACTGAGAATGGACAACATCAGGGAAGTGGAAATTCCAGATCACAAAACACAGTTTATGCAGAGCAAACCTGAGACTGGTTTGAGACACCACCAGAAATCTGGCTTTTTCGACTCTTCTGCCAAATCACCAATGTAAATTTTCGGTAACTCTGGAATTTGACAGGGCTCTGAAAAACCAAAAGCCCTTTTCAAGAAATACTGAATGCAACTTACGTCCACTATGACTTCAAATACACAGTACTTCTTGCCTTCTCTTCTGGATTCTTAAGGAAAGAAAAAAGATAGAAAATGGTTACCAAATCACAAGCCAACAATTCATTCTTATGGCCCAGTCAAGGCACAGGCCTGAACCAACACCCCTAACCCTAGACTTGGAGAGATGCTGAGGAAACC